ACCAATTTATTCTCCAAAAATATACTAATTTTATTCCAAACTACAGCAGGTATGCCCATTTCCCCACATGCTTGCCAAAGTATGTGCCTTAAAACTTTACATATGCTCACTGATGTTTTCATGTATTAACTGCCTCTTTACATCCATTGCCCTTTTTTATTTATTGATTTCCTCCAACTGCAGGTGGCCATTTTGTGTTTTGACGTTTATATTTTCCTCCAATCAGAAGTCTTGTGATGATGCTACCATTAAGCCCAAATCAGTAAGCCTTACTCCCACATTCAAGCTTCCAATCACCTTTTTGGTGACCCATTTTTTTTTTTCTTATTTCACCTTCATTTTAATCAACACTTTACAAAGTACAGAACATACTGTCTATTTTGGGAAACAGTACTTTTTTTTCTCTCCATCGTACCCTTACATGAATCTCGAGGGCTTTGTGTTTCAAGAACATAAGCATGGAGGCCCCAGGAGGTTGGGATAGGATGGCCAGTTTTCCCCTTCACCTAGACCTTGGGACCAATGATGCACCACTGCTATGGCTGGTGACCTGCGAATGCCAAGTGAGAGCCAGAGGGAACTGTGGGAAGGCAGGAAGTCCTCTGTATCCCCCTAAGATGGGGCTCTGGACAGGGACCCTCAGAGCTCCACCACGCACCCACATCCACCCATCCCCATCTCTGAAGATAAACATAAATGATTTTGGCATACAGCAAGATGAAGGCTTGGAATTGTTTCACTGTTAGCACCCTAATGTTTTGGAGCCGACTGCTCAACTCTTCCTGGATCATCTTCTGAATGTAGTTAAACTGAGGCAGTGGAAGGGAAAATGCACAGAGCTCGGCCTGTCTTGAAACCTGAATCTGACCTGCTTTTCACTCCACAGTCCACACCAGAGTTAGGGTCTCCAACTTGGTTGGACTCCCTTCCAGGATGATTTCCAATAGGTGTTGGGTTAGTGCACCATTCTTAAATAGCCAATTATCATAAGATTCTGAGCAAATAAAACAATGCAGTTAAGTGAATAGAATAGAAAAACTGTAGTAAATAGACTACATAGGGAGAAAAAAACTATCCTTAATGAGAAAATAATGCAATAATAAAACAAGAACAGATTACATACACAACTGTCCCTCCACAGCCACAGATCCCACACCCACAGATCGAAAATTTCAGGGAAAAAAAGGATGCTTGCTTCTATACTGAACATGTACAGACCATGTTTTCTTGTAATTTTCCCCTAAACAATCCAGTATAACAGCTATTTACATAGCATGTACACAGCATTAGGTATTATAAATAATAGAGATGATCTAAAGTATACAGGAGGATGTGTGTAGGTTATAGGCAAACACTACTCCCACTATTAACAGGGATTTGCACATTTACAGATTTTAGTATCTGTAGGGGTCCTGGAAACAATCCTCCGTGGGTGCTGAGGGACAACTGTATGTAATGAACATTCCAATAACAGGTCTACTTAGAAATTTTGAATGTTAATGAAAATTTAAAACTTCATAAAAAGGTAGGAAGATAAACTCAAGGAAATCTCCCAACAAAAATTAGAAACAGGAGAAAAGAAAGTGAAAGAAGTTATCCAAAAACTTAGTTTTTGAACAGTAACACTTTCAGAGAGAGAAGAAAAAAGGGATAAAAATCAAATGAATAATTAAAGAAGAGACTTGCTCAGTGGATGAAACTGATATAGCTGACGTGTCTGAATATTTGAATGTCATTCATCTTTGTAGTCCTAGAGTCAGATACAAATCAGATAACCCAAATATCTGAAATACTAATCATTAGCAAAGTTTGGGGTCTTCTAAATAAAATTAATAAAGGAATAATGCTTGGGAAACAGAATTAGTGAGGCTAATTCCTCTTGGTATTAATAATGAAGAACAATATTTTATAATCTAGCATTCAGTATCTTGCGCTGGTAGCAAATGAGCTGTGCCTGTAAGCTGTCAACACTTGCCCAAAAGCTGAAAAACTAGAACAAAGTTACTGTGGCCTAATCACAAAAGTGGTCAGTAAGAACATCCCTGATACAGAGTAGCAAGTAGAGAAACTAGAGTTAAATTTTTCATCAAAACTAAGGTATTTGCCAGAGGAGAGTAGAAGTCATATAGAAAAACCTTTTTTTTTCCCTTTGAGAGTCTCATTCTGCAACCCAGGCTGGAGTACAGTGACACAATCACAGCTCACTGCAGCCTCAACACCCAGACTCAGGTGATTCTCCCACCTCAGCCTCCTGAGTAGCTGGGACTACAGGGGTACGACACCACACCCAGCTAATTTTTTGTATCTTTTTGTAGAAACAGGGCTACACCCTATTGCCCAGGCTGGTTTCTGACTCCTGTGCTCAAGTCATCCACCCACCTTGGCCTCCCATAGTGCTGCGATTACAGGCATAAACCCCTGTATCTAGCAATATGGAAAAACATTGTATATGTTAACAATTATTTCACCTTTAAAATATATAAAATAACATCCTAGTTATCATAAAGCTCACAATAGAACACTGGTAATTAAAGCTAAAGAGTTTAACTGAGCAAACAGGAAAGATTAAGCGTATAAAAACACAGTATGTAATGTCATAGGATTGTAAAAATAAAGCTATTATGGAATTGAGAACATTAAACAAAAAAATGGGATGGCTGACATATAACTAGTACAGGAAACAAGTGAGCAAACCTCTCAAAAAATATCCTGCTTTAAATGCCTGCATTTACTGAAATCATTTTAGAGGAGAGTCAGTGGCTCACAACTTTGGATATACGGAGGAGGTAACATTTAATAAGAGAGCTAAAGTGAGAAAACACTCCGAGAATCTAGTTAACAGGAAACTTACTTTACCTCCCCTATCTCTGCAATTAGTAAGACAACTAAGTATTTGTATATTCGGGTAGTTACATGGAATGTCTCTCCATGTCAGCCATATCTACAGTAAGTTCTTGTCAGCAAAATATAAGTTCTTTCCACAAGGTCCCTAAATGGACTTAAGATATCTCTGGATCCTTACTCACTTTCAAATGTCTGTAAATTCTGCATATATGCACGTTTCCATAAAGATACCTGAGCTTTTACTAATAGCTTCCAGAATAAGCTTCAAAAAGTTATACTGCTTCACATTGAAAGATATTGTCCATTCATTCTTATAAGCCAAAAAATGTCTAGTTCATTATCTTTATACTTAACATACATTTCAAATTTCTCCTAAAATATGACTTTAATCATAAGGGGATTGACCCTAATTAATCAATCTCTCAATGTTGGACACTTATCTTAAAAAAACAGAGTTGCCCAAAATATTTTAAATAAACATTATGTAAGAAAAAGACTATGCTGAAGACCTTAATGCAGTAGGAAAATCACAGCTAGAGAAAGGCCCTGTTGAACTTGATCACCAACAGTTCTTAAACATCAAGTTTTCTCCTCCATGATTTAATCATATTACCACTTTTCTATATACCTTTTAGTTGTGTTGTGGACATAAAAGCCATAATCTAATTTTCTTTAACTAGAATACTATTTTTTTTTTCTTTTTTCTTTGAGATGGAGTCTTGCTATGTTGCCAGGCTAGAGTGCAATAGCGCAATCTCAGCTCACTGCAATCTCCACCTCCTGGGTTTAAGCGATACCCCTGCCTCAGCCTCTTGAGTAGCTGGGACTACAGGCGTGCACCACTGCCCCGGGCTTTTTTTTTTTTTTTTTTTCACATTTTAGTAGACACAGGGTTTCAGCAGGTTGGCCAAGATGGTCTCAATCTCCTGACCTCATAATCCACCTACCTCACTCAGCCTCCCGAAGTACTGGGGTTACAGGCATGAGCCACCATGCTCGGTCTAGAATACTAATATCCCTACCCTACAAAGTTCCTACCATGGGTTGAAAAAGTTCTGTGAGGTACTGAATCACATTCACATCCTCTATCCTGAGAACACTATACTAGCATTTAACACCATGAAGAACTAACCATAGCTTCAGGGTGTAATTGCTGAACCCACACCCAGCTCAAAAATATTAACTGTAATAAATGTAATGCTCTTATCCTATTTTCCTGAGATTACTCAACATCTCAGAGAAGAGGATAAAAACAATTATTTTCTGCCTCAGATTCTCTAACCCTTAACATAGTCCTGAAAATGCAGCCAAAATGCTCACTTTTAAAAATCATTCTCTGAGAAATAAAAAAGTAATTACTGAAGAAGACATACAAGCTTTAAGTGTGAGAAGGTATTATATGGCTAACATGAACACTAAACTTAACTGCATTTCTTAAATGCGTATGTACCAGGCACTGTGTTGTCTTTTAGATATATTCTTAAACTTCACAATTGTCCTGATGGTAATTCATCATCGTTCACATTTTACATTTGTAAAACAGTATTTAAAAGAGAGAGATAGAGACAGAGACAGAGAGACAGAGAGAAAAAGAGAGAGAGAGAGAAAGAGTGCACGGAAGGGCTTAGAGTTAACATAACTTCTCTAAGATCAGCTACTAAGTGGCAGAATTAGGACTCTAAAACACAGCATTGCCTGATCATAGAGCCTATGCTTTTTAATGTCTTAGCATTTTGCCTACTCAAATTAAATTGAAAATCCACTAGATTCTCAATTATTATACTAGAAAGTGTAAGTCTTACTGATGGATGGGCCAGTAGTATTACCTGTGTATCTCCTATTATGTAGTACCACATGCATAGTAGCAACCCAAAGATAGCTAACTAAAGGAAGTCCATGCCCTACTGCAAAATAGTAGAATACCTTCAAGAAGAATGTATGATTTGGCCCATGAAAAACAGATCAAATGTTTTAATGAATGGCACGTATAATAAGAGAGAAAAGTAACCTTAGAAGAAACTGTTATATAGGTCTTATTTTAAAATAATAGCATGAACCCATGAAGTAATAATCATTCAAGAGTTATCAGTGATGAATATTAAAAAGTAGACATTTTACCTCTCAACTAAATGTTTAATCAAATAGGAATACTGAAGGCGCATTAACTTTTTTATTGAGGCACAACAAGGCATTGTAACTTGCCTGGACTTGAGGCAGTCAATTTAGTAAGCTGAACGTTAATACAGTTAAGGATTAAGTGCAAACAATATACATTCACAGCTTGACTAGCGAGGCTACATCACAATTTATAAAGTGCCAGATTAGTGCTAATTGTCATTCAGCTTGATTTTTCACCTTAGGAAGGAAAACAAAAAAGTAAGGACCTCCTCTTTCCTCTAGGAATGAAAACATTTTCCTAAACCAATTGGTCATGAGAACAAGAACTACTTTTCCTTCAATCCCACTAATTAGAACACCATCCTTTTATTGTCAATACTGTAATGACTCTCAATCTTGATAAAGAAGATAGCCTGAAAACGTAGAGTATTTCCAGCTACTTCCATAAATTGCTCCCCTGTGCAGACGTAACCATATCTGGTCTCCCTGGAAGAGCTGAAGAATTGCATGATTGCTAGCAGTTTCATGGTCTGGAGCACCATCATTGGCATAGGCTGATACCAAGACCTCTTCATTCTTCATGAGGTTGACATACAGTGGCACATTCACTGCCAGCTTTAGCATATGAAAAATGAAAACATAAGTGCCATTCACCGGGCAATTAAATCTACCAAGCTGAAGATCAAAAGTTTCTCCTAAGTTGTTCAGAAGAAGATCAAACACAATAGGTTGGTCTAAAGTTCCAGGGGCCAGATTAGAGGTTCTGGCTGCTGAGAAGGCAACTCGCATCTGCTGAGGCAGGGGGTACACATGTACTGGCAGTATGGTGGCTGCTGGATTTGACACTGGCACATCCACAGGGGTCATGCTACGGGAGTCTCCTTGTCCAGAGTCACCACTGTTAAAGGTTTCGTTGTCTCTTTCTGGGCTGCTCACCTGAGAAGAATCACTCCACCCTGCTGTTTTATTAGCAACAGTGAGTTTCTCATAATGAAGCAGTTAGCTTTGAACACAATATTTAACATTAGTTGGCTACTGAAACAGACAAAGATACATTTTATAGTAAATTCCAAAACAAAAGCAATATATAGCTAGATTATACTTTTCTAGATTTTTCTGGCAATAGGTTTTTATAATACCCTTCTAAAGCCAGAAAGGTCCAAGATAATCTTGTCTAATTGGTCCTTTTCTAAGAGTAAGAAAATGTGCCCTTCAAAAAGCAAGATAACTTAGCAAAGTCTAAAACTCAGGTCTGAACACTTTTTACTTAATCTTTCTCCCATAATTCTTAATTTCTTAGAGATCATTCTACAAAGCAGCTAATGTAGAAGGTCTTAAGAAAATGGGAGATTACATAAAACACCAATTTTTAGAACTACTAGCCGCTAGGGAACTAAGCCTCATGATGAATGCCTGTTTTTTCTTTTAATTCCCAAGTTAATGTGACATCATACACTTTTAATGTTTTAAGTGCCATACAAAAACACTGCTCAGACTAAGGCAAAGGCAAATTGAATACTAGTTTTGTTTTGTTTTCAGAAGGAAACGAATGCTTTCCTGTAACAGAGTTAATCTTCAGTGATCTTTTTTTCTCCATTATACCAAACTTTTAATAGTTCCTTCACATTTTAAAAAGTGTTATAAGTATGCTGCTTTTCTTTCAAGTCACTGTGTCTTAATTGTTGCTTATTTGACTCTATTAATGCAGTGACACTAGAGTAAGTAGAAGTACCCATTATTACAAAACCACCATCCCGAGCCATCACATGAACTATCTGAAATCAGCATAGTGAATATATAAGGTTAAATATGCTCTGGTGTCGAGCAGATTTTTTAAAAATACCCACCCTTTTAATTCAATTTGCAGTGGTTTCCATAGCCTTTTTAGGAGTCTAATATCTCCCTTAGTACTTTAGTATTACATTCAAGCAAATTGAAAGGCTCAACAAGATAAATACTGAAAAGCAATGTGCTTTGGGAGGAACTTGGTTGAGGATGCAGAAAGAACTAGAGACATGTTTGGGTAAATAAACTGTTCAGTTAATTATCCTTACCTCTTGAATTTGCTCGTGGACCACCAGATGTCCCTCCTCGCTTATAGCACTGCTGGAAATTATCCTAAAGTAAACATATAATATTTACCTTGGCATTAAAAATGCAGGACTATAATTGGTTATTACACAGGACAGGACTACTGGCTGGCAATCTGTAAGACTAAAGTCCCCTTAGTTCTTTATCTGGCCTCCTCCAGCAACCAAAGAAGTCAGATGTTTCCAAACACCAAGAAAAACAAGGCAAGAGCAACAGTGGCATTACTTGCTCATTTGTTAATTAACCCGATCAATTAGATATGTTAATGCCCCAAAAAGAATAAAGCACTTGGAGAATACTATGTAAAAGATACAATGCTAGGTAATGAGAGACATTTTTAAATGTGGCATGGTCCTCTGTCCCTCATCTCAATATAAAAGGACATCATAAAGCAAGAACACGGATTTTTTTCAACCTTGCTCTATGTATACACCAAACTGGGAAGACTAATACCAACTATGTTGGAGTTTGGGAATTTTTTTTTAAGGAATTCATAAAAAATTATATTGTATAAATATATTTATTGCCTAGAAATATAATCCAATATATTAAGGAAAAAATGTTCCAGGGGCAGTACTTCAAACAAACTCCCCAAGTATGAAGGAAGCCAACCTTCATACAATCCACGAAAAGAATAATTAGTGGCACAATTATTATATGCAATAAAAAATTGAAGCAGGACAAGAAGGCACACAATAAAAATAATAAAGACTCTTATTCCATACTCTCAGTCACCGCTTTGCAAGAGCAACCAGCATTACCAATTTCTTGTTTCTCAGGAAGAAATGTAAAAGAGCACACAAAAATACTGTAATAGTGGTATTAAGAAGAGACAGTTCTTTTACTGACATCTATATTAATCGACATCCTCCCCTCACATACATTCCCTCAGAATCATGTAACAACATCTAATATTTGCATGGCTGATATACACAGCTGGCTCTGTAGTGCTAAGCACTTAAGTGCTTTAGTTCATTTAATTCTCAGAATATCTCACGGAGAAAACCTCACTACCCTTCAGCATTAGATGAAAAACAGATGAGGAACTAGAGCTCAAAAAGTTTCACTAACATATCCAAAGTCACAAGGCAAGAGAAGTGATAAACGAGGGGTCAAACCCAAGGCATTTAGATCCAAGGTGTTTTTCACACGTTTTTTTTTCTTTTTTTGAGATGGAGTTTTGCTCTTCTTGCCCGGGCTGAAGTACAATGGCACGATCTCGGCTCACTGCAACCTCCTCCTCACAGGTTCAAGCAATTCTTCTGCCTCAGCCTCCTGAGTAATTGAGATTATAGACGTGTGCCAGCACATCTGGCTAATTTTGTATTTTTAGTAGAGATGGAGTTTCACCATATTGGTCAGGCTGGTCTCAAACTCCTGACCTCAAGTGATCCACCCGCCACACCCTACCAAAGTGATAGGATTACAGGTGTGAGCTGTAATCTCACACTACACTAGGCCTTCACCCTTTTCAATACTGCCTCTGTGTAGATACCCATCCTACCTCATGTAACTGTAAGCTCTTCAAGCTTAGGCATTTTTACATATTGCCTACAGAATTCAGTATGGTACCATATACATACTCAAAGGCTTGTAAAACTTCAAAACTAAAAATGCTGATGTAGTATAGATTCGAATCCATAAATTCCCAAGGTTTGTTAAAGTGGAATTTCTAACATACTCTTACAAGTCTTTTATCATATGTAGTAAAGAAAATATGCTGGGTTCTTCAAATAAGAATAAACAACAACAACAAAAAAAAAAACCTTATGAAAAAGGGCTTTGCTATATTTGCTTTTCAGGCAAATTAAGTTGAAGGCAATATAGTAACGTTAAAATCATGGGCTCTAGAATAAGAAAGTCACATTCTAATCTTCATTTACAATTTCTTTGATGAATGACCTTAACCTGTGAACCCCAGTTTCTCCTATAAAATAATGAATTAATGCAAACGACATGATTCATAATGTTCTTAATACCTTCTAAGTTTCATATATCAAGCAGTTATTTTTCTTCCTTGGGTAATTGGAAAAAGCTTGCTCAACTCTCCCTAAGACTTAACGAGTAGTTCTAAAAGTAAGAGTGCACTTTTAGAAAACAAATTATGACTCTGCTATATACTTGAATCACCAACGTAACATCAACAACTGTACCACTAATTCAACTGTGACAACTATTCTTACTTACCCTTTGGGAATAAGGTGATCCAGAATACTCTCTAGCTTGGAACTGCAGCTGGCTATAATTTCCATTGGAAATGGAAGGGAGTCCTCTGTAAGTATCAAAACCTAATAAATAAACAAACTTAGATAAGATTATGGACAAAATCATATTAAACTTTTTTTGTTTTTTTGGTTTTGTTTTTTAGCTGGAGTCTCGCTGTGTTGCCCAGGCTGGAGTACAGTGGCACGATTTCAGCTCACTGCAACCTCCATCTCCCAGATTCAAGCGATTCTCCTGCCTTAGTCTCCCAAGTAGCTGGGATTAGAGGTGCACACCACCACATTCGGCTATATTTTGTATTTTTAGTAGAGACAGGGTTTCACCATGTTGGCCAGGATGGTCTCAATTTCTTGACCTTGTGTCCACCCACTTTAGCCTCCCAAAGTGCTGGGATTACAAGCACGAGCTACCACGCCCGGCCATATTAAACTTTTTTTTTTTTTTTTTGAGACAGAGTTTCGCTCTTGTTACCCAGGCTGGAGTGCAATGGCGCGATCTCGGCTCACCGCAACCTCCGCCTCCTGGGTTCAGGCAATTCTCCTGCCTCAGCCTCCTGAGTAGCTGGGACTACAGGCACGCGCCACCATGCCCAGCTAATTTTTTGTAGTTTTAGTAGAGACGGGGTTTCACCATGTTGACCAGGATGGTCTTGATCTCTTGACCTCGTGATCCACCCGTCTCAGCCTCCCAAAGTGCTGGGATTACAGGCTTGAGCCACCGCGCCCGGCTCATATTAAACTTTTTAACAGTCTAATTCTATATGCTTTAAAAGTTAAATTGATTATATAATGCCATCATTAGACTTATGACTTCTTTAAGCAAACTCTACTAATATTACTTCCACAGTAAAACACACATTTATAAAACACTGCTGTCTTCAAAGAAGCCAGGTTTAGACATTTACCACTGCTGGAATGCAAGTTGTGGTTGGGAAAGGGTGGTGGTAGGGCAGTTAGCTACTTAGGACCTCCGTCTAGAATTGTTTTTTTGTTTGTTTGTTTTTTTTATATGCAGTGTCCCGCTCTGTTACTCAGGCTGGAGCATAGCAGTGAGATAACAGCTCACTGTAACCTCAAATTCCTGGACTCAAGCATTCTTTCCAGTTCAGCCTCCCAGGTAGCTGGGACTACAGGTGCACATCACAATGCCCAGCTAATTTTTAAAATTCTTTGCAAAGAGAGTGTCTCACTATGTTGCCCAGGCTGGTCTCAAACTCCCAGCCTCAATGATCTTCCTAGCTTGGCACCCTAAAGTAATGGGATGACAGGCGTGAGCCACTGCACTCAGCCTGTCTAGAGTATTTTTGTTAATAATAAGTACTGGCTAGGAAACTTGGAACCATAACAAAAATTTAAGAGATTATCACTATTATAGTCTCAAATTCTATATTCTTTGTGACATAATCTAACAAATAACTAGAAATTGGGCATTTTGTAAGTATGACGTACTTTTAGCAGAGTTTGACTTAACTTTTGTTGACTTACAAAAGAAAAACATTATTAAAATATGAAATTCATCCTTTGTAAAACAAGATGGTAAAACTTTTCTACTTCAGTAGTCTCAAATTCTAATCTGCTTTTCATTCAGAAAGTTAGTTCCTCTGTTACAGAGAATACGTATATTAAAAATATTCTACTATCCACAAACAGAAAATTCTCTACCACATTGTAAATGACAAAAGGGAGCAGGGTTAGGTAAAAATGGTTTGAGTCAAGTAAACATACAGACGAAATGATTCAGTAGAATTAAATTTTATTCAGGGCATACCTTTATAACCACCAGGGGACCGATAGGAATTGGTTATTAATCTCCCACCACGAGTACATCCTCTAACAGATCCCCGGCTATTGACAAATGGCTGAGTAGGTCTGGGAAATACATTCGTCTGTGCTGGGTAAAAGGCAAGGCTACCATTGCTTACTTGAATAGTTCCATCGGGATGATAATTTGCTGCTTAAGAAAAACGGTTTTAGAGTCTAAGAGTTAAATGGTAATAGTCTTTATACTTAAAAGCCAATATATATCAAAATCATTAATTTGCTCCCTTTAAAAATAAATAGGAAATACATTCATATATATAATTCATCTACATATCTCAAATACATAATTCATATACATAATGGATTATTTAGCCTAAAAAAGGAAGAAAATTTTTACTCATGCTATAACATGAATAAACTCTTAAGACATGCCAAGTAAAATAAACCAGTTTCAAAAGCACAAATATTGTATACCACTTATATGAGGTACCTAGAGCAGTCATTTTCAGAATCAGAAAGTAGAATGGAGGTTGCCAGGGGCTAGGGGGAGAGGAGGAGGAGGAATTAGTATTAAATGATTACAAAGTTTCAGTTGGGGGAAGATGGAAAAGTTCTGGAGGTGGACAGTAGTAATAATTACACAACAATTTGCATGTACTTAATGCCACAGAACTATACAATTAAAAATGACTGAAATGGTAATTTTTATGCCTATTTTACAACCATTTTTAAAAATCAGGCTAAATATTCCAAATGAGGGAGTAAAAGAAAACTGATTCTAATTAGTACTATATCTGAGAAGGCACATTTGCGTACATCACCTGCCCTGTCTTTCAACAGTACAGGGGAGCAGAGAATCAGGTCATTTGTGCCTAGGTCTCAGGAGTTATATTACTACCTCTTCGTCACTTGGTTAGCCAAGTACTCAGAACGCTCATTCATTTGCTCCACCTTCAGTTAAAAAATTCAATAGGAATCTGAAATACCAATATGAAAAATCTACAACTGCTTCTTAAATTAAGACAAAGTACAAAGTTACCTATTCTTGTATGAATGACTCAAAATAGCCTCCCATTTCTAAGCAAATGATACAATGAGCATACTAAGTTATATCTTCAGTCTTCAATCTTTTTTTATAAGATAAAAAAGGACATTCTGTTAACCACAGAATGGTTTCAAAATCCTCATATAAGCAGCCAGATGGTGCCCATTTACCTCAATCACTGTCTGTGGTAATCAAAGCAAATAGATTTAAAAATACAAACCTACTTCAAGGTTAAATCAGCCATCTCAGTTCCATGTCTACAAAAATTAAAATTAATAGGTAAGCTTAATACAAGAAAAGGCATTAGGTTTTTCTCAACATTGGAGGAACACATGAAGAAATAATGCTTACTAGTCAGGAGAATACTTCTCAAGTGTCACTCCAGACTTGCTAGACTTGCTTTCCATTTAACTGGCTATCCATCTAAGTCTTCCAAATACCATATGCAAAGATCTTACCAGTCTCTTGAGAAAGGACAGTTTGTTCTACATGTATAGCTGGCAGTTGGCACTGGGGTGGCGTCTGTGTACTTGCTGTAGTAAAACTTTGATTGTAGCCAGGTGAATAAGAGGATTCTTTTATTTCTTGTTCTTTTCGTGGAGGCAGAGGTGCATTAACATTGAACACCTTAAAAGACAAGAACACACTGAGTCATCTAGAAAGTTTCAGAGAAAATGCTTAAGGGTGACATCCAGCAAAATTCTACAATCAAAAACTTCTATTTTGCAGGCAAAGGACTTGAACAGACATCTCTCCAAAGAAGATAAATGTGCAAATAAGCACATGAAAACATGCTCACTATCATTAATCATTAGGAACATGTAAATCAAAACGATAATGCAATACAGTTTTATACTCATTAGTAGGACTACTTTCAAAATGACAGAAAATAAGTGTTGGCAAGGATGTGGAGGAACTGAAACTCTCATGCATTGCCGGTAGGCATGCAAAATGGTCCAGCCGCCACTATGGAAAATAGCATACTGCCTTCTCAAAGCATACACAATACATGATCCACTAATTCCATTTCTAGGTATATACCCAAAATAATTGAAAACAGGGACTAAATAGATATTTATATACCCACGTTCATAGCAGCATTGTTCAGAATATCCAAAAGGTACAAACAACTTAAATACTCTTGAATGGAGAAGCAAAAAGAAGTACATACATGAAATGGATTATTATTTGGCAGTACAAAAATGGAATTCTGATATACTCTATAACATGAATGAACTCCGAAAACATTATGCAAAGTGCAAAAATCCAGATATAAAAGGAAAAATGATACAGGATACCAATTAGATAGAATAGGTAAATTTGTAGAAACAAAGTGAATAGAGGTTACCAGAGCTGTGGAGGGGGTTACAAATAAGAAGTTGTTGCCGGGCGCGGTGGCTCAAGCCTGTAATCCCAGCACTTTGGGAGGCCGAGGCGGGTGGATCACAAGGTCAAGAGATCGAGACCATCCTGGTCAACACGGTGAAACCCCGTCTCTACTAAAACTACAAAAAATTAGCTGGGCATGGTGGTGCGTGCCTGTAATCCCAGCTACTCAGGGGGTTGAGGCAGGAGAATTGCCTGAACCCGGGAGGCGGAGGTTGCAGTGAGCCGAGATCGCGCCATTGCACTCCAGCCTGGGTAACAAGAGTGAAACTCCGTCTCAAAAAAAAAAAAAAAAAAAGAAGTTGTTGCTTAATGGACACTAAGTTTCTGTTTGGAATAATGAAAAAGTTCTGGAAATAGTGATGATGTCTGCACATTATGAATGTATTTAATGCCACGAACTGTATACTTTAAAAAGGTTAAAATGGTAAATTTTGTGTTACATATATTTTACCATAGTAAAAAAATCAAAACACTCCTCCTTGATTCCTGACAGAATTTACACTGAAGAGCAAAAGCTAATCTTCCTGCTATTATGCTATCATAATAATGCTTACTGAGAATAAAAGCTATATAAGGAAAAGGAGTTTTTCAAAAACTAAAGATGAATGAAATATTTTACCATTTACTGAATCTTTACCAGGTTGCAAGCAATGATCTCTCCTTCTATGACTGTCTACCTCCCCAATTCTGTCCATTTTTCCTTGTATCACACAGCACCCGACATACAGGTATTTGTCTCCCTAGCCCTCCTACCTCCATAGTAAAATGTCGAGTTTCCTGAGCCTACTTTTCTTTTTCTCACTGCTACAACCTCAGTGATTAAGAACAGTTGCTGGTTTTATAACTATTATATAATCAATAAATCAGTAAGAACCAATGTGAACTAGGTGGGATTCAAACAGGCAGAGAAAACAGATTGGCATGAGCAAACGGTATTGTGACAAGAATGTATAAGGCAAGCTCAGGGGACTAAGTGTGGCAGGTTAACAGATGTGAAAAGGTACTGAGTGTCAGGCCGAGGACTCAATTTCCTTCTGTAATGGAATACTGCTTGCTTTTAATTAGAAAAAAGAAAAGGTAAAACCAATGTGGCTATACTATGCAGGATGAACTGACAGAAAAAGAGTGAAAGCAAGGAAATCAAGGTATCTATCTAGAACTAAGATATTCTACTAAGTGATCAGTTGAGTGAATTCAGCTGTCTGGATTCACCAGCTGATTTCCCTGGGTGGTGCCTGCTTTCCACTGTTACTCCACTGGCCCCACTACCACCATCATTCCAAAGTGCTTGGAGTAGGACACCAACAGGAAGGGTATTTACTGGCTCACTGAAGCTACCCCCACCACAAAGAACTGTTTTATACTAGTCTGTGTTTAGAGAATTAACATACCAAACTAGCTGTAAT